CTCGCTAACCATTTCCTTCCCCACCCACACCTCCCTCCCTCCCCTTGCCACCTCCTCTCCCCCGCATCCCCTCCCATTCCCCTTTCCTCCCTCCGTCCTCGCGTCCCATTCGCCCCTCACTCCCTCCCCTCGCCCGCTTCCCCTTCCGCAGAGGCCTTCGCGCGGCGGCACCTGGCGTCCGCGTTCGTCGGCACTGTCGTGACGCTCTTCGCGAAGCCCGCACTCAACGGCAAGTTCGTCAACGTGCAGGCGCCCGCGCCGGGGGAATGCCTCACGCTGCCCCCCGCGTTCAACGGCCGCACCGAGAGCGCCGCGATCGCGTGGAACGTGAAGTCCGCCGCGTCTGGCGGGCAGACGGTGAAGCTGTGCGGCAGCGTGAGCCTGTGGACGAGCGACAATTGCGGCGGGTACTCGAGCGTGTTCGTTGTCCCCGGGGGATGGCGGGAGGCGACCGCGTCGCGATACGACTACCCCGACACGCCCGTCAAGTGAGGAGCGGGGAGGGGCAGGGGTGGGGGTGGTGGGGCGGTGGGAGGACGCGGAGAGGGGCGGAGGCGGGAGAGGAAAAGGAGGGACCGGGGAGAGGGACGGGGGAAGGGGAGAAAAGGGTGGGGAATAGGTCTCGGCAGCGGGAGCGCGTGTGTGGGGGGGTGGGGGCTTGGCGGAAATGGAGATGGCGAGTCAGAGAGTCGAAAGAGCATGGGGAGCGTGGAGTGTTAGTGTCGTGTGCTGCACGTGCACGTGCACGTGCTTTAAACTTCCCGTCCAACTTACGCTCTCGCTGTCGCTCCCACCCTTCTCGTCCCGCTCTCAGGTTCTTCACCGGAGTTTACTCACCCATCCGCTCTATATCCTGCGCTAATTACGGTACGACTCTCTGTTCCACCCCGCTCTGCCCACCACTCGCAGCACCCGTTGCAAACTCACCCACTCACGAGTGCATTTCTCGTCTTCCTACCTCCCGTTCCCCCCACTCCCGCTCATCCTCCTCTCTTCCCCCGTCCCCCTCGATCCCTTGCTTTCATGATCGCACGGCTTGGCCCTCTCGTCTGTCCTTCTCCTTCCCCCTCACCCCCCGCCTCCCCCTCTTCCCTTCCTCCCCCCTCCCCCTCTTCCCTTCCTCCCCCCTCCCCCTCTTCCCTTCCTCCCCCCTCCCCCTCCTCCCTTTCCCCCCCTCCCCCTCCGCAGTGCCCAACCCGTGCACGGGGTACCGCTGTCCGCCCAACTCGCAATGCGCGCTGGAGGGTGGAACCGCGCCCACGTGCGCGTGCGTGGCGGGATTCACCATGCGCGACGGGGAGTGCGTCAGTGAGTCCGCCTTGCCCTCCGCGCGCCCTGCATTCCGCATGCTGCATGCGTGCTGCCGTGCTAGGTCTCACTAGTTTCATGGTTCCGCTGCATTATGCAATCTGCATGACAGTGCTCTTTCCTCGCCTTTCCCGTCTCATCCCTCACTCACTCACACCGCCTTCCACCGCTCCCCTGCGCGCCGAGCAGACACGTGTCAAGTGACGGAGTGTCCCGCGAACTCGTCGTGCGCGCTGGTGAACGACCGGCCGGTGTGCGCGTGCAAGGAGGGGCTGCTCATGCGCAACGGCGCCTGCATAGGTGCGCGGCCCGCTCTTATTGCATGCTTCGCCCTGCGTGCCTTTCCTTGCCTTTCCTTTCCTTGCCTTGCCTTGTCATACTGTATGCGTATGCTGATGATTCTGATTATACGCCAACTAGTCTACCCATCCAGATGCCTCCATCTGCCCCCTCTCGTTCCGCCCAACGCGCCCTCTGCCTGTTTGTTTCTCCCCGTTCCATCTCACCCCACCTCCTGTCCCTTCTCGTCCCCCCGATTCTCCCCACCCCCCAACCCCTTCCCCCCCGCGCGCAGACCCATGCGCGGACACGGCGTGCAAGCAGCCGGCGACGTGTGCGGTGAGCAGTACCACGGGCGCGGCGTACTGCGCATGCCCGCCCAACTGGCGCCTGCGACCCGATGGCCTCTCCTGCTCTGGTGCGTTGCATGGCTGCTGCCCTCGAGCGCAGCCAGAGATGGGTCACTGCATCTCACTGCATTGCCCTCGTGCATGCATGCAGCCTCGGTTGTATGTAGAGATGCGCATAAACAGTGACACACTGTCAGGCTGAAGGATACTTTTGCCGCCGCCTCCCTCGTCCTTTCACTTACCACATTCACACGCACTTTTGTCGCCTCTCCTGTTTCTCACATACCTCCCACCCACCCCATCCCACCCCATCCCATCCCCTGTCGTGCCACCACCACAGACCCTTGTGCAGCAGTGCAGTGCCCATCAGCGTCATCATGCGTGGCGGTGAGCGGCGCTGCCACATGCGCGTGCCCCAAGGGCTTCTCCTTCTCCAAGTCCACCTGCGTCTCCTCCAGTGCGTGCCACCCTCCACTGCCATCACAACCACACAACCACACAACCACCGCACTCACAAGCACCGTAACAACAAGCACCGCACCCACACAAGCATCCCGCACACTCACACACCTCTCTCCTCCTCCCTTCCTCCCTTCTCATTAGCACTGCTTGCTTGCTGCCTTCTTGATCTTCCTCGCACGTGCCTGTGTTCTCTCGAACGTCTCTCTTGACTCTCCGTCTCGCCGCGCATCCTCCCCTCTCCCCCCTCCTCCACGGTGCAGGCGTGGTGAAGAATGCAGAGTACCTGGACGTGCAGCTACTCACCCCCCTTCTCCATTCTTCTCCATCCTCCCCTCTCCCCCTCCTCCACGGTGCAGGCGTGGTGAAGAATGCAGAGTACCTGGACGTGCAGCTACTCACCCCCCTTCTCCATTTTTCTCCATCCTCCCCTCTCCCCCTCCTCCACGGTGCAGGCGTGGTGAAGAATGCAGAGTACCTGGACGTGCAGCTACTCACCCCCCTTCTCCATTCTTCTCCATCCTCCCCTCTCCCCCTCCTCCACGGTGCAGGTGTGGTGAAGAATGCAGACTACCTGGACGTGCATAACGGTGTGCGCTATGCTGTGGGGTCGCCGGAGGTCAAATGGAACGACACATGTGAGACACGCAAACCATACCTGCTCCCTCATGCTCCCTTCTTTTCACTCCACATACCCCCCTTGCGTGCGCCATTCCTTTCAAAGCACGCTCCTGCCGCCCCTGATCCCGTCTCAGCTCGTAACGTTCCAACTCACCGCACATCTCCCCTTCTCTCTCTCGTCCTCTTCTCCCTCCCTATCTCCTCCCTCACTTCCCACGGCAGTGGCGAAGCTAGCAGCAACATGGGCAGCACAGCTGGTATCCAACACCTCTGTCAACGGCAACCAGTGCGGCACACTCGTGCACGGCATGCTCTCCCTCCCCTCTCCCTCCCTCTCCGCCTCCTCTCTCAAAGCCAACACTCTCAAGGCCAAAACCAAGGCCACCGGTCCCCGCAAGTCCTCCGCCCTCCCCTCCTCCATCCAATTCGCCTCTCCTCCTCCCTCATCCTCCTCTTCCTCATCCTCCTCCGCCTCTCTGCGTATGGGTCAAAATCTAGCAGCGCTGTCAGGGCTGGCAGCGGGGCAGGTGGTGGGGGTGAAGGCAGGGCTGGGAGTGTGGTTGGAAGAGGGGGGGCGGTACACGAGAGCGGTGTTTGTGGGGGATGCAGGGGGCTCTGACTCTGGGTGCAGTGGCGGCGACTGGAAGGCGTGTGGGCATTACACACAGGTACGGCTCGTGTTTGATGTCATGACACCGCTTGGACTTGGCTGTTGCTCACTCCTCGAGATGTGCGCTCTCCCATCCCGCATTCGCCAATAGAATTTGACACTCGCTTTTTGCAATCCTCACCTTCGCTCGCACCTAAGAACTCCTCCTTCAGCGCTTCCTCTCTCTCACTCTCACCCTCCCTCTCTCCCAACCCCCCGTGCAGATGGTATGGCGAAGCACCACCTCAGTCGGCTGTGCCACAGCCACATGCCCCTCAGGAGCAGCACAGGTCTGGGTGTGCAACTACTACCCTCCGGGCAACGTCATCAACTCCTACCCCTACTGACACCACCATCCTCCCACTCTAACCCTGCCCTTGACCCTGCCTTTCTCGGGCCTCCTTTTTTAACCCTACCTCTCGCACCCTGCCTTTCATCCTCTCCTCCTGCCTCTGGCCAATAAGCCCCTCGTCTGTATCGCCTGCATGCATCGCCACAAACGCACGGCTGATGATGCCCATGCTGCTGTCACTTTCGGCGCTTGAGTCTGCCACTGCCGGCACCACCGCCGCTGCTGTTTGGTAGCTGCGTGTACGAGAGAGCTGTGTCAGAACCGCAAGCCTTGGCCCGAGCCTGAACCTGCTTGTCTTTGGGTATCTTGTCCCGGCTTGACCGTGTGTGTCTTGTCGGGGTGAAGGGCTCCAGTATCATTACTGATGACTCACTGTCTCACGGTTGCTCCATGTCACCACACCTGGGTTTTGGGGAAGCTTGGTGTCATGTTTGCACTACAACAGACCATGATCTTCTTGGGATGTACTCTTGGGTCCAGATGACCTCGTGCTTGCCTTGACGTTCGGGGTTACATGATGATCCCCCCTGAAGGCCACAATTTTAGGTACTCTATGTGGTTATGCTTGTGTGATGCATGCTGCATTTGTTCATTCGTTTGATATATTTATTGATTTCCTCTTGGATGCTGAGAAATGTGAATCTGGGAAACTCATTCTAGCCGCTTCCCAGAGAATTTTTAGACCGAATTGAATGGACGAAGTCAGGATTTAACGATTTGAACTGGTATTAGCAGATTCAGTTACAACTGCTCATGTCTTTCAACTGACTGACTAATATAGAATCTGACTCCAGATGGCTTGTAAAACTAGTTTTTCACGGATCGTCTAATAGCGGGTTCCGAGTCCGCAAATACCCAAGCCCCAGACCCCAGAAAGCCAGAACCCTCACCGTAAACCGCGACTCCTCGTCGACGCTTCCTCCGCCTGCCCGTTCAGCCCGCATCTCCTTCCCCGCCTTCCGCCCGCGCTACAGCTTTCGCCATGGGAGGCTCTCGGCGGAGATTGAAGCGGGGCAAGGCGCCGGTGCGCGTGCGCTTGCCCAAGATAAAGAAACCCGCTCCGGCCGCGGTGAAGCTGCCCGACGGCCGAGTGTACGCCCCTCTCTGCCTCCCAATCCCCCTTTCTGCTCCCCCTTTTCCGCTTCTGCCCCCGCTCTTCGCCCCTCGCCCCCGTGCCCCCCACTGGCGGGAGGTCGCACATTCGTCTGTGACTGACGTGCTGCCTTGCGGAAATCGCTGCTGCTGTCCTTGCCGTTTGCGCTTGCGCATCGCTTAGTCACCGCATGATCCCCGCACACCCCTTTATCCGCAAATCAATTCCCTTGTATCCTCCCCCCCCCCACCGCGATTTCATATCCCCTTCACGTTCCCTCTCCCATTCGTTTTCTCAATCCCCCCCGCGCTCCCGCCCGTTCCCGCGCGCAGCATCGAGTGGAATCGCGACGCGTCGCTGCGCAAGAATTACCGCAGCGCGGGCCTCCAAGTGGACCCCTTCTTGATCAAGCCGCGCGCCAAGACGAACGCGAGCTCGCGCGGCGTGTTTCTCGAGCAGGGCGGCGCGGCGGACGGCGAGGATAGAGAGGCGGGCGCTGCGGCCGCCGCGGAGAGTGATTTGTGGGGAGAAGGAGAGGGCGCGGAAGCGGCGGATGGGGGAGCAGGCGGAGGGGAAGGCGAGGGTCACTTGTCGCATGGTGAGTGGTTCTCTGGTTACGCTGCCCTGGTTACCACCTCGGTGCTCGGCTTACCGTTCTGGCATCCCTGTTCCAACATCTCCTCTCCCCCACACCCCCTTCCTTTCTCCCTTTCCCTGGTTTCCGCCTTACCCCCACCCATCTCCCTCCCCCCCTCTTCCCTCACCCCTCTCCCTCCCCCCACCCTCCCGCGCCCCCCAGAGCTCCTGGCGACGCTGGGCTTGGTTAAGAGGGACCCGGGCGCGCCTCCGCAGCGGCTGACGCGCGTGCAGCGCACCGTGGTGGGGCGCCTGCTGGCCGTGCATGACACTGACTACAAGGTGAGCGCGCTACTGCCCTGCTGCCCTGCTGCACTGGTGCACTTGTGCAGCAGGAGCAGCATATGGTAGCCCATGTGTGCCTTGCGCCCGAGCAGCATATGGTAGCCCATGTGTGCCTTGCGCCCGAGCAGCATATGGTAGCCCATGTGTGCCTTGCGCCCGAGCAGCATATGGTAGCCCATGTGTGCCTTGCGCCCGAGCAGCATATGGTAGCCCATGTGTGCCTTGCGCCCGAGCAGCATATGGTAGCCCATGTGTGCCTTGCGCCCGAGCAGCATATGGTAGCCCATGTGTGCCTTGCGCCCGAGCAGCATATGGTAGCCCATGTGTGCCTTGCGCCCGAGCAGCATATGGTAGCCCATGTGTGCCTTGCGCCCGAGCAGCATATGGTAGCCCATGTGTGCCTTGCGCCCGAGCAGCATATTGTAGCCCATGTGTGCCTTGCGCCCGAGCAGCATATGGTAGCCCATGTGTGCCTTGCGCCCGAGCAGCATATGGTAGCCCATGTGTGCCTTGCGCCCGAGCAGCATATGGTAGCCCATGTGTGCCTTGCGCCCGAGCAGCATATGGTAGCCCATGTGTGCCTTGCGCCCGAGCAGCATATGGTAGCCCATGTGTGCCTTGCGCCCGAGCAGCATATGGTAGCCCATGTGTGCCTTGCGCCCGAGCAGCATATGGTAGCCCATGTGTGCCTTGCGCCCGAGCAGCATATGGTAGCCCATGTGTGCCTTGCGCCCGAGCAGCATATGGTAGCCCATGTGTGCCTTGCGCCCGAGCAGCATATGGTAGCCCATGTGTGCCTTGCGCCCGAGCAGCAGCTGCCCACCATCTGCTGGCTGGCCGTGCACGATACCGACTAGAACCTGTGCAATCTGAGCACACTGCACTGCAACTCTGCTGCTGCTGCTGCAGCTGCTGCTGCTGCTGCTGCTGCTGCCCATGGGTTGCTGCTAACCCATGGGCAGCAACCATTCGTCTGCTCACCATGCACGCGCTGCCTATACGTTGTGACCCTGCATGTGCCTAAGTACGATGCACGGTGCAAGCAACACTTTGGGATGGATAACCATATCTGTCTTCTGCTGCCATCCCCTCTCTTACCATCCTCTGCCTCCCCACCCCACACCCGCGATCAACCCCTCCACCAATGTTCCACCACTGGCATGCCCCTCTATTCTGGCGACCCATCAGGCCATGGCACGGGACATAAAGCGCAACCGCATGCAGCACTCACCCGCGCAGCTGCGCCTGCTGTGCGAGCGGTACCTGGCGCACGAGAAGACCCTCCCGGACCCTCACTAGCACACCGCTTGCAGCTGTGCAGCTGTTCTGCTCTCTTGCCCGATAAAGGTGGTTGCAGCAATGCTCTTGTAGTATATTTGATCAAGCTATGCAATGGATGTTGTGTTATTTGTCGCACCCTGTCAGTCAATTGTCTCTGTTTCGTATTTGCTGCCATGGAGTGGGTGCACTGACAGCCCAGCAGTCACCAGAAAAAAAGCACACAAGGAGGTTCCAGCAAATTGCTTGTGTGAGAAGTGGATAGATCCTTGTTGAGAGAAGCAGCTAAAATGACTCTACATCACTCATCATCACAGCATAATTGCACCACACAAGTATACAGTGCAGATACCCCAGAACAGCTCCATACTAAATCTATAGCGCACGTAACAGCCAGTTCACGACCACACGTCGCGCACGTATCGCCCCGCACCCATCATGTCCTGCAGGTGTGCAGCAGCCGACGGTGCCGCCATGCCCCCATGTGCCTGCAGGATGCTCTGCAGGGCTGCATGCACATCCTTGACCATGCCCGCTCCGTCCCTGCTCCCATGACGGGGGAAGGGGCGCGAGGAAGGAGAGAAAGGAAGGTGGGAGAGACAGGTTAGGAGGCACTGCGAGAGAGGGTAAACGGAGGGGATGACCCTATACAGGGCAAGTAACCAGGGCACGGCGAGAGGAAGATGTGAAGTCACCACCCCTTCAGCCCCAACCACCCGTTTGGAATCCAACAAGCACACAGAAAACTACAAACTACTCTCCTGCACCCTCTGCTACCACCACGCAGATGCTGTATGCATCCCCCTTCTCCCTGCTCCCTCCTTCCGCTCACCCGCATATGAAGACATAGGTGGCTGGGTTGAGCAGGAGTGGTGCGAGCTCCTCCGCTCTGGCTTGCATCTTGTGCTGCACGTACACCTGCCAACACATAGCAGAGGGAGGGGAACACACCACAGGTCCACATGTGCAAACGCACGCACGCCTCCCTCAACTGCTACAACAGGCCGTCTGACAGACAAGCAGGCAGAAACGGTTGAAGCAAGAACGGCCATGGGGCACCAACACAAACACACACACACGTGCATCTCTCTCCCACAAGGACATGTGCCTTCCACTCCCCGGCCCCACACCCCCATCCCCGCCCGCTGGCCGTCACTGTCATTGCCAGCACACGAGCATGGCCAGCCAGCAACACAACACGACCAGCACAGCCACATCCACCTCACAGCACTCACGTGAACATGCACCCCACTCCCCCATCCTCATCCCCCCTCGCCGCACCTTGTCCTTGCCGGCACGGGAGAAGGCCACATCGAGTTGTGACAGTGTGCCGTCCGCAACAAACCCCTCAAAGTCCTCCCGATACAGGTAATCCTCATCCTCCCTCCTGCACCCGAAGAACAGCCAGCTCTCCCCCGCACCACCCCCCTCCCCCTCCCCCTCTCCCTTGTTCCGCGCAATCAGCCGGCGTCTCTCCTGCAGGAAGCCTCTGAAGGGCGCCACACCGGTACCAGGACCAATCATGATGAGCGGAGCTGACAGTGATGCAGGGTGGGAGAACCTCCCCCCGGGCTTGGGGAATATGGAGAGGGCGGGGACAGGGGGAGGGAGACAGGGCGCGTCAGCCCCTGCTGCTGCTGCTGCTCCCACTTGCTGCAGCTGCTGCTGTTTTCTCTTGGCCACGCGTTCCCTGTCTTCTGGGGCGAAAGGCAGGGACTGTTCGAGCCATGACGTGCACACCCCTTCAAACACCCGCTGTCCTGCCAACCCAGCAGCAGCAGCAGCAGCAGCAGCGTCGCTGTCATCCCCCACCGCACCAGCAGCAGCAGGCATGAGTTCTGGTAGCAGCGGTTTCAGCGGCATGTGCACAAGGCTAAACGCAAACGACACCGAAGTACCGGGGGGGTCCGAGGCAAGAGGCGACGAGGACAGCGAGTAGAACCGCGCAACGAGCGGCGGAAGCGCATCCAGCAGATGAGCCAAATCCGGCTGGCATGACGGGAATGCCAGCAGCAGCTCTAACAGGCTCGGCCGGCGCTCCATGACCAGTTCCTTATACGCGTCCTTGCCGCCGCGCGAGGAGAGCAAGAGCAGGCGCTGCTGCTCCTTGCGGTCGCTGCAGTAGTCGGCCAGGATGCGCAGCAGGCCCTTCTTGGGCGTGCCCTTGATGTCACAGCAGTGAAGCAGCGCGTGGCGTAGCGTGCACCGCGCCGGGATGTGCCCCCCGTCGCGACTGCTCGCAGCCGCTGCCCTTGCCACAGCACCACTCCCAGCACTCGCAGCACTCCCAGCACTCGCACCTGTCTCAGTGCTCTCAGCATCAACCAGGGAAAACACTCTCTCCCCATCCACCCCCAGCCTCGCGAGCAACTGATCCACCATATCAGCATCATTACTGGGCACCACGCCCACGCTGTCACCCGCGGCGATGCTCACCCCTGCGTGCACGGCAGTGGATACATCCACCTCCACATGCACCACCACGCGATCCGACCAGTCTGCGGAGAGGAACAGCGCCGCCACCACTGGCGCCCGTAGCAGGTTGGAGTGGGAGAATGGGGGTGTTGCAGCAGCAGCAGTGGCAGCAGTGGCAGTGGCCGTGGTGGTGTCAGCGTCGGGCTTTTCCCCGTCGAGCCAGACAAGGCGGACGCGGCATGCCTGCAGCGGGGGCACTCCCACCAGCTTCACCTCTTCCTCCTGCTGCTGCCCTTGCCCCTGCGCGCCCTGCCCTGCCTTCTGCCCGCCCTCCACCTCCTCCTCTGCGGATGCTAGTGGCGCCGGCGCTGCTAGTGCGTCCTGAATGGGGCCCCATATGCTGGGCGTCCATGCCTCCACCACTTCCTCGAGACTGGGAGAGAGGGAGCGAGCACGGGGCAGAATTGCGCAGAGACCCGAAAACAGAGAAAGAGAGAGCAACGCAGGAATGGATGAGCTGGTGAGAGAGGAGGCAAGGCACATGGCATGTGCAGCACAGGGTGCATGGCACACGGCACACGGCACACGGCACACAGCGAAGGGCACACAAAACAACACGTGAAACGCATATGACACAGAGCATTAGCACTCATAGCGCTCGCTCACCCGTCCACCTCGTCGGCCTCGCAGCACTTGCAGAGCAGGTGCGCGCCGAGCTCCGGCAGGCGGCGCGAGAACACTCGCGGCACGGCCATGTAGCGCGTGTAGTTGCTGTCGCCCAGCCCTGGTGGCGCGCGCAGGGGCAGGGGGGTGAGCGGGACAGGGAGGGGTAGGGGGAGGGGTTTGTGAGAGAGGAGAAGAGCGGAGAGGAGCGGAGTATGAAGCGCGTGTGGCGTGTGGTGTGTGGTGCATGGTAGAGTGTGCTGTGTGCGGTGCGCATGTGTGGCGTGTGTGCTGTATAGACGATGCGATGGTCAGTGCATGAGGGGCGGTAGGCGAGCACGCACCGCAGACGGTGTATTTGAGGTGCGAGAGCAGCGAGGGCGAGTGCGAGCGGCGCTGCAGCGCGCCGATGAAGCGGTCGCAGTTCTCAGGGGGGTCGCCGTCGCCCGTGCTCGACACCACCACCACCGCCACCGCCACCCCGCGCAACTTCTCCTGCTCCGCGCCACAGGGGGGGAGCGGGGGACGGGGGGACCAGGAGGAACAGCGGGAGGGTGGGGGAGGGGGGAGGCGGAAAGGAGGGGTAAAAATGAGAGGTGGAACTAAACGGCACCCCGTGTTCACACCATCTACAACCTTTCAACCCCTTCCCCCCCAACTCCTCCTCCCCTCTTTCTCCCCTTCCCTCCATTTCCCCCCTCCCATCCCCCCGCCCACCTCCCCCTTCCCGTCCCCCGCTCTCCACGGGCGCGCGCGCGTACCAGCGAGTAGTCGTTGAGTGCGTGCACGTGCGAGGGCAGGCCGCGCTGCTGCGCCTCGGCGTTGATGGTCTTGGCGATCTCCATCGCGTTGCCCGTCTGCGACCCGTACAGCACAACCATGCCCTCCGGCCCTGCACAAACCGCACCACAGCACACCGAACCACACCACACCACACCGCACCGCACCACACCGCGCCACGCCACGCCACTCCACGCGATGCCACACCATATGCCACCATAGCGCCATGCGAGCACAAGGGACGAAGGTCAAGATTAAAAACAGAGACGAAATTACGAGGGAGCGAGTGGGGAGTTTCAGGGTGTAGGGTTTGGACGAGTCGAGGGCATGAGGAGGGCAAGGCGACATTACGACCAGCAGGAAGAGAGAGCTGGAGAGGGGAACGGCGGCGAGGAGAAGCACGAGAAGAATTACGTTCCACGTGGAACTATACTTTGCCATAGGCCTTCCGACACATTATACAACACGCTGCAGGATCAGTGCAGCTTACTCTTTGGTCCCTCCGCCGTGCCTTCCGCGACCGTGATCGGCGCAGCTGCAGCGCGGGCGGCGGCGCGCGTCGCCTTCGCCTTCATTGCGGCCGCCATGGCTCTAGCTCCGGGGGAGATCCCCTGCGAGGCCAGGTACGCAGCCGTACCATCTGCCGCCGCATCCCCGCCGTCAGCAGCGGCTTCCGCCGCTGGCTTCCCCGCAGAAACGGCTGCTGCTGCTGGCGCAGGAGCTGCCGCTGCGGCGGCTGCAGACGGCGCGGCTGACGTAGTTGCAAATGCTGGCGGAACAGCCGCTTCCCCCGCCGGCTGCGCGCCCGCGGAAGCATCCGCAGCCGCGGCGCCGGTGTCGAGAGCCCCCGCTAACGCGGATTTCTCCTGAAGCGACCCAAGAGGGGGGGAGGAGCTGGACTTGATCAGCGGAATTGCCGGCGGGGGAAGCGGCGCGAGGCCGCCCCCCGCAGATCCGCCGGCGGCACCCGCTGCGGTTTTGTCGTCTTCCGAGGACGGGGAAGAGAGGAGCTGCGTGACGGCTAGGGCGGCGGCGGCGAAGATGATTGGACGGAGAGACGAGGGGAGAAAGTAGCACGCGAGCGCCGTCGCGATGGCGACGCCGCCAAGAACGAGGAGCGGCTTGCGCTGGTCCCACATGTCGAGTCGCTGTTGCCGTTGCTTGGTGGATGGGGACGGGGATGGCGGCCTATGCGACGGTTGGGATTGATTTGACTGGGATCGGGAAGCTTGCTGATTTAGCGGGGTGGGAGGAACCCCCTGTTGCTGTTGCGGCTGATGATGCACACGTGGCACAGTCGAGCCGCCACTAGCGTCTCGATCCAGTATTTGATAGCTCTGCGCAGCTGGCGCTGATTGCGAGGACTGGATAGGCTGGTGAGACTGTGATTGCTGACTCGCGAGCTGCTGCTGTCTCTGGCCTAGTTGCTCCCGCAATAACCGCTGCTTCTCTTCTAAATCTCGTATCGCAAAACCCGCTTTCTCTCTTTCCTCCATCACCAACGAGTAGGTAGATACCTATCAAGCGAGCGACGAAGCTCGCAGTGGCGGAAACCACCAGATCGCGGGTCGGATCGAAGGGACGTTCGTTCAGGGATCGCCGACAGAAAGACTAGCCGTGCAGGTGAAGCGATCAAAAGAGAGCGGTGGCGGGACGCGCCAAGGAAAGCAGCAGGGCAGCCGACAGAGGGACAGGGGAAAGACAAGCTGGGCAGGCAGGGGAGGGAGAAGCCGCGTGTGGAAGCAAAACCCATCCCATCCCACATCCCCTCCACCACACAGCAGTCGATCGAGGGTGAACCCCTCCCATTCCCAAGGAGGTGTCAGGTTGACGAAGGTGCCACGGCGAGTCGGCCCTTGCGGTCAGAGTCGAGATCCGTCGCGGTGCTTGCATCTGACTGGGCTTGCGTGTATCTAGTATCGAGGGTTCTGTGCATGGATGGGGTTTATCCGCGTTTCTGAGTGCTTCAGTTCCGAAATAATAACGGTGAAGCTGTTCATTCTTGCTTTTCGACCTAGTCCTGGGTGTACGAACGAGGGAAACAAGGGCGAAGTGAATGAATGGTTGCTTGCTTGCTGCCTTTCTGAAGCGAACACGTCGGCACGCGGGTCTCCGAACCAGCGTCCGAGCCACACCTCAGTTCCGCTGCTGAAGTAGCGAACCACCCCTCCTGCCTGTCATCGCTGACTGGGATTACCTGCAACGCAGGCCAGCCGCAAACTTGCGAAAAAGCTGCCTGCCGAGAGTCGCGAGAAGTCGTCCAGCCGTCCATATTCTTCGCCCCCTCGTCCACCACCACACGAATCTGGATGCTGTGTGCGCCAAAGGCCGTCGCACAGTTTCTGCGACTGCGGAAACCCATGCGAATCACTCACGTCCCCAGCCTCCTGCGACGGTTGGCTTTTCGGCCCAGCGAATGTACTTCCACTCCTCTTCACTTCACTCCACCACTCCACTATTCTCTCGTTTTACCCTCGCGTGCTCTTTCTCTGTAGGAGGAGCTTTCCTTATCACGCGAGCTCGCTGCGCGTGCTTTGCGCTGTGGAGTGTTGGAAATCCTTATCTGCAGCGGACGGTCCCTCACTCTCCGCGTCTCCTCCATCGGCTGTCAACGAGATCCTCTCGACTTATCCGTTCGACTGTCGGATTATGCGATCGCCTTTCATCAGCTGCGTCGCTCGCGTAGCGAGGGGAGCATCTCGTCGCATCCAGTCCGTCGAGCAGCTCTCATTTTCCTCACCTTCGCCAATTGTCTCACCACTCATCGCCCCCGCGTCCTACACAACCCTTGCCACCGCTTCCGTTACCTCGCAACGCCTCGCATCCCCTAACCCCTTACCCTCCTCCGTCAAACGCGCCGGCGAATTCTTGCTGCCTACAGCGGCCGCGTCTGCCGGTGCTGCACGAATCGCATCCGTTCGATCCATGGAGGTCCTTGCTGCCCCCCACGCTGACCCTCTCTCGGCGTCGCCGGCGTTCGCCAATCGCGCGTGCGACGCCCCCGTGCTGTCGTCAGCAGCGGGTAAAGCCGCCGCAGTCGCGTCGGAGAATTTCCACACTTCCGCCGCCAAGAAGGCACTTGTCCCCGCGTCGGCTCCCAAATCCTCTCCGGCGACTTCTGCAGAGTCTACCGGCGCCAGCGGCGGCGAGGGTTCTGGCGGCGTGAAACCCGCGGAGAAGCGGCACCGCGCGCGCGTGTACACGAGGACGGGCGACAAGGGCACGTCGTCGCTGTACACGGGCGAGCGGCGGCGCAAGGACGACTGCGTGTTCGGCGCTCTGGGTGACGTGGACGAGTTGAACAGTGCGCTGGCCGTGGCGGCGGAGTACTGCCGCGTGCAGGGCCTCAAGGAGCTCTGCGACCAGGTAAGCGCTGCGACGCGTGCGACATAAGCCCACTTGTGTCGCATGTCGCATGGCACATGCAGCACGTTAAGAAAAAACCCTGTCGCGCCGAATTCCTATATGAGTAGGGTTCTGTTTGGAAATTGAGGTTAGGAAAGTGATACCAGTAATTGACATGCCTCGCCTCGCCTTTTTTCGTGCCCTCCCTGTCAACCTTCCTTCCCGACTTTCCCCCGCGCCTCCACCCCAATCCACCCCCTTAGATCGCGGTCATCCAGTCGCGGTTGCTCGACGTGGGGTCGGTCGTCGCCACGCCGCCGTCGTCCGCATCCGCCGCGAAGCTGCAGCGCGTGCGGTTCGATCCGACGGCGGTGGACACGCTGGAGCAGTGGATCGACTCGCTGGACGAGAAGCTGCCGCCGCTCACCGCCTTCATCCTCCCCTCAGGTGCCTCTCTATCCACCCCGTGCTTGCAGCCACGTGGCCCGCGCGTTGCTGTTGGGTTGATTGATAGTTGAGGGCAGGGGAGGAAGGGGAAGGGGAGGGGGGGGGGGCGAGAGGGGAGGGCAGGGTAGGGGACGGGAGGCAGGGGATGTGAGGTGATATTGTGTTCGGCAGGTGCCTGCGTCTGCGTCTATGGCCTTTCGATGCATGCCCCACCGTTGTGTGCCTTCCGGTGCTGCCAATGCTATTCTCAACTGTTCCTCGCTCTTTGTTCCCCATGCGTCTGCTCGCAGGTGGCATGGCAGCGGCGCATCTGCACCTGGCACGGTCCATCTGCAGGCGGGCAGAGCGCGCTGTAATCGCCGTGGCAGCAGAAGATGAGGAGCAGCAACAGCAGCAGGAGGAGGCACAAGAGTCACAGGACTCAGAGGCGCCTCTGCCGCGCATAGACCCCACGGTGATGCGCTTTGTGAACCGCCTCAGTGACTTTCTCTTCACTGCTGCTCGGTTTGCGGCGCAGCACGCATGCCGCACAGAGACCATTTACAAAAAGGCAGCTGTGTAGGGCTAAGCAGCACTGAGTGACTTTTTAACAGGGGTTACAGCTTCAATCATACCAGTGATGCTGGGGAGCTTGTAACAGTTTTTGCGAGTCACTGCTGCCATTCTGTAATGGGTCCTATTTCTGCTGTGAAAGCTGTACTCACAGAGATGGCCTGTTTTACAAGGGCGGAGGCTTGATGTTGGCTAGTACAATGCTGCTGTACTCTGGCTACCTTTTTAAAGCCCGCGTCTCATATTTCACAACACCCATCCAAGTGTAATATGCTTGATATCCAGTAACCCTGCCTCTTGTCGCCAAACAGCACCTTCGCACTATACAGGTTTGGGGGTGGTTGGGAACGTGCAAATTGTCGAGCTACAGTGTTGCTACCCCTGCTGCCAAACCCAACCTGTCCTCCACGACCACTGCAGGCGACTGAAAATGCACCACACGATGGTCAACGACGTGTTGGTGGTTCCGTGCGACACCAAAACACACAGCACACTTCATCCACAGGCAAACCAAGCATATTACTGAGCTCCCATGAAATTTGAGACAAGTTATCACAACCTGAGATAAACATCCCAAGCAGAACTAGACAAACATCCCACGCTTGACCACCTGATTAGCGGCTACACTAATTATTCTCCTACTAGTACAACGCACAGCGACCAAGACAGGCAACGTCCCTCGTGCCAAAGAAGATAATCAAGAGAGAGGGTCGACCCGAGTACCCACCAGTAAGCGCAAATGCCTTAGGACGTATGAGGTCCCCCGCATATCTCCATCCATGACATTGACATTAGATTACTCCCCACCTTGGAGGCGACGCGGCAGGGAGGGCATTGATAGTGACCGGAGTGGGTGATTTTAGGTATCAGTAGCGCGCGGTTACGATTTCCGAAGCCCGCATTTAGCATTTCCCGTATCGCAGGCATTTTCAAGTCCCCCAGAGCACATATTCCCTTCCCGTCACTCGCATTTCCCCTGCGACTCGTCCGCATTTCCCTTTCCGTCGCCCACGCGTACTCCCCTCTTGTCACCCACGCTCACTCCCCTCCCGTCGCCTTCGCTCACTCCCCTACCGATTCCACGCTCACTCCCCTCCCGTCGCCTTCGCTCACTCCCCTACCGCCGCCACGCTCACTCCCCTCCCGTCACCTTCGCTAGCTCCCCTACCGCCGCCACGCTCACTCCCCTCACGTCGCGTGGGGGAACTCCCCATCCATCGCCCACGCGCGTTTCCCCTTCCGTCGCCCATGCAATCCCCCCTTCCGTCGCCCATGCGCGTTTCCCCTTCCGTCGGCCATGCGCGTTTCCCCTTCCGTCGCCCATGCGAACTCCCCTCCCGTCGCCCACGCTAACTCCCCATCCATCGCCCACGCGCGTTTCCCCTTCCGTCGCCCATGCGAACTCCCCTCCCGTCGCCCACGCTAACTCCCCATCCATCGCCCACGCGCGTTTCCCCTTCCGTCGCCCATGCAAGCCCCCCTTCCGTCGCCCATGCGCGTTTCCCCTTTCCGTCGAGATGCGCGTTTCCCCTTCCGTCGCCCATGCGCGTTTCCCCTTCCGTCGCCCATGCGCGTTTCCCCTTCCGTCGCCCATGCGAACTCCCCTCCCGTCGCCCACGCAATCCCCCCTTCCGTCGCCCATGCGCGTTTCCCCTTCCGTCGCCCACGCGAACTCCCCTCCCGTCGCCCACGCTAACTCCCCTTCCGTCGTGTACACCCATCCCTCTCCTCCTCATCCCTCTTATCCCCATCCTTCACCTCCCCGTCCCTCTTCTCCCCATCCCTCATCTCCCCATGCCTTATCTCCCCATCCCTCATCTCCCCATCCCTCACCTCCCCATGCCTCGTCCCCCCATTCCTCATCTCCCCATCCCTCATCTCCCCATCCCTCATCTCCCCATCCCTCATCTCCCCATGCCTCGCATCCCCATCCCTCACCTTACCATCCCTCACCTCCCCATCCCTCACCTCCCCACGCCTCACCTCCCCATCCCTCCTCTCCTTATCCCTCACCTCCCAATCCCTCTCCGCCCCATCCCTCACCTCCCCATGCCTCACCTCCCCATCCCTCATCTCCCCATCCCTCATCTCCCCATGCCTCGTCCCCCCATCCCTCATCTCCCCATCCCTCATCCCCCGATCCCTCATCTCCCCATCCCACATCTCCCCATCCCTCTTCTCCCCGTCCCTCATGTCCCCATCCCCCATCTTACCATCCCTCTTCTCCCCATGCCTCCCCTCCCCATTTTTCGAGTTGGTTGGGGTATGCGATGAATGCATTGGGTTCGTCGGATGCTCGGTGGTGAGGGCTGGCTCGTGTTCAAACGACACTTGCTCATGGTGGGGCTGCTAGCACCAACTTCGACAACCTCCACACCAGCCTCATCCACTTCAACCAACTCATTCACTCTGCCCAGAAGCCCACGCCGTCGCTTCAACATGTTTTGCTCACTGCATGATGGGACACAACAAGGCACCGAGGTTAGCTACAGGCATACATACACAAAACTGCCATGGTGTGTGAGGGTGCAACCCACCTGGGAGTGAGACGGCGCCGGAGTGTGCGATGTATTTTGGGACGTGCACTGCTGCCATGGTGTGGGGCTGAGGGGCAACGCACACCTGCGGATTGGAGTGGTGGAGGGATATAGCAGGGAAAAGGGCATTGATGTCATGTAGCTGTGGGATTGAATTGGTGGGAAGCAGGGCTTGGGATAAGGGGACATGGGGAAGCACGGAAGGGGAGGGCGGAAGCAGAAAACCGGATGGGGGGAAGCATGGCTTGGGATGCGGGGAAAGAATGAAGAGGATGGGGGATGCAGGGAGGGGGTTGGGGGGAAGCGGGGAAGGGGATGGGGGAAGCAGGGCACGGGATGGGGGGAAGCAGGGAAGGGGAGGGGGGGTAGCAGGGCAGGGTAGGGGGGGAAGCAGGGAAGGGGATGGGGGGAAGCGGGGTAGGGGAGGGGGGGAAGCAGGGACGGGGAGGGGGTTAGCAGGGAAGGGGATGTGGGGAAGCGGGGAAGGGGAGGGGGGGAAGCGGGGAAGGGGAGGGGGGGAAGCGGGGAAGGGGAGTGGGGGAAGCAGGGAAGGGGACATGGGGAAGCAGGGAAGGGGAGGGGGGGAAGCAGAAAACCGGATGGGGGGAAGCAGGGCTTGGGATAAGGGGAAAGAATGAAGAGGATGGGGGACGCAGGGAGGGGGTTGGGGGGAAGCCATTGTGGGAATGGGGGGAAGCAGGGCACGGGACGGGGGGAAGCAGGGAAGGGGATGGGGGGAAGCAGGGAAGGGGATGGGAGGGAGCAGGGAAGGGGAGGGGGGGATGCAGGGACGGGGGAAACAGTGACGGGGGAAGTGGAGGGAGCGCATGGGGGGAGCACGAGCATGGTAATCGAGGGGAGGGGAATGGTCACGTGGGGGAAGGGGAGTGAGAGGGACGGGGAGGGAGCGATAGCAGTGGGGAAGGAGATGGCTAGCGGAAGGTTTTCGAGTGAGGTATCGAGGGGGGAAGGAAGAGATAGCGAAGGTGCAGGGGAGGTGCTTGCGAAGGGGAAGGGTAGGTGGGGCTTGGAGAGGGGGGGCGGCACGAAAGTGGAGAGTGAAGGAGGGAAAGTGCGACTAGTTCTCCCCGTGATATATGCGGGGGATGGGGAGGGCGCGCATGGGGGGGGAACATGCACGCGAACGATGCGGGAAGTGGAGTGAACGCGACAGCGAAAGGGAGTGGGAGTGACGGGGAAGGGGAATGGTCACGATGGGGAAGGGGAGTGATAGGGACAGGGAGGGAGTGATCGCGACGAGAGAGTGGAGTGCTTGCGGTGGGGGAAGGGGGAGTTATCGGTGGGGAAGGGGACTGATAGCCCTTGGAAAGGGAGTGAGCTCGACGTGGAAGGGGAGTAATGGGGAGGTAAGGGGGAGTGAACTCGACAGTATAGGGGAGTGCTAGCGTGGGGAAAGGGGAGAGATAGTGACGGGGTTGGGGACCACGGGCGACGCTGCAGGGAGTGATCGCGTGAAGGAGGGGGCGGGCGCGCATGGGGGAAAACGGGGACGCTAGCGAAGAGGAAGGGGAGAGACAGCGACGGGGAGGGCGAACCCCGCATCCGTGGGGAAATGGGAGTTGAGACTGTGGGGAAGCGCGTAGGGCGAACGTGGGGAATAGGCTAGCATGCCCGAGGGAGAACGGTGATGGCGACAGTGGGGAAGGGGGTGCGATACCGTGGAGACTGAAGCGCTGGAAACGTTTGGGGGAGGCGGGTGTGATACGCGACAGAAATTCGCGCGCGTTGTTGTACTCACGCGCGGTGTCGACGGCGCATCGATCCGCCTCGCATTCGGAGGAATTCGTCGCGTGCCCAGTACCCTCTTGTGACGACATTGCTAATATGTAGCTAGGTTTCCGTTTAGCTGTTCACGAAACGTAGAACTGTATTCACGGTGTGATGCCCTAATGACGATAGTGGCGGGGTACGAGGCGGGTGTGACAAGTATTGAACATACTAATGGGGAGGTGTGACGGGTGTAAGCTTAGTAATCACAAGTAATAAACGGCGTCCTCGCTGGTGTGGAGGACGATGTGCGGGGAGGTTGTGTTTGTCGCCTGGGTTTGTCGCACAGTGTTGTTTTCGCTGACGAGCCTGTTTGTAAAAGTGTGGCTGGGGCAACAGGTTCGGGCGGTAGGTTTGGTTTTGTTTGTACAGTGTGCATGTTTCGCCCAAATGACCCCTCCTGTCGTGCAGAATTTCGCTGCTCGTGGACCAATCTACGGCCTCCCCTCCCAACCAAGTGTAATATGGTAGAAGTTATGAGACGGGGGTTTTAAGTGAAACTGGTATCGTATGAATAGATCAGCTGAACTGAAAGCCTAGCATTTTGTGAAAGGTAACGGTAGCAACTAAACTTTTAAAATTAATTGCAGCAATTACTAACACCCAAAGCAGACACGCAATTACTGTCCCGTATGTGGACACATATACACGTAAGCAGCAGAAGTTTGTACTTCAGATGCGTCTGCCAAACTCCTAAGCCATAGTAAAAAGAAGGCTCTCCCATACACACCACACATGCCCAGCGTTGTTCTACGAGAAGTCACGGTCGGGGAAGAGCAGCGGCGCCACAAGCGCCCAGACGTAGAGCAGCGCCGTGCCCCACTGCTGCAGCAGCTTCACAGACACAGACCCCCACCCCACATCAATCAGATACTCCGCCTCGCCCCCACCCGCTACCTGCGCTGACGACCCCACGCCCCACCCCGTGAGCAGCATGGCGGAGTAGGCGGCAGCGAGTGCAAAGATGAGGTGGAAGAAGGAGTAGTTGTACGCCGCTGGCTCGCTTGTTGCTGCGTCGCTTGGGGAGGCAGTGGTGGCGCTGTCGGGCTTTGATGAGTTGGGGTCGACAGTCGTGGGGAGCAGCGGATGCTCCAGCTCTGAGGGGCGGACGGGGAAGGGGAGAAGGCGAGGGGGGGGGAGGGAGGGGAACGGAGCAGGGTGGAGGAAGATAAAGGGAGAATGCGTGTGTATGAAGGATTGGAGAGGGAGGGAATCAGAAGGAGGAAAGACTCAAAACTCTGCTTGGAAAAAGGAGAACCACTGAACTCCCCTCACGGGTAGCCATACCCTGGTCATCATCCGGGGGTGAGAGCAGTGCAGTGGAGGAGCCAGCCCGGAGCGCAGAGTAGGCAACAGAGAGCAGTGCGCCGAGCATGGAGAGGGCGAGGCGTGTGGAGGAGAGGGAGTTGAGGTGCGGCGCGAGGCCGTTGCACTCGTAGTCACGCGGCTCGGAGCAGAGCGCTGTGGCTGCCACGTACACGCTGTAGACCGAGATGATGGACGCCGGTAGCAGACTGCCGTTCACCTGCACCCGGGGGAGGACGAGTGAAAAGGGGGGGGGGGGGGGGGGGGGGGGGTGAGACCAGGGAGGGATGGGAGGGGCGGCAGAAAGGAGGGGAGGGAGTATTTGGGGCAGGGAAACAGCGACGTGAGGTCAAACGGTGTGATGAAACACAGCGTGGATGACGATGAATGATGGGTAAGTGAAAAGGGGGAGGGAAGCGGAGAGGGGACGGGGAGTGGGGAGTGGGGAAGCGGAAGGGGATAGGAGGAGAACAAAGGGCGCACAGTGCAGGATGCGAGTAGCAGAAGCGCAAGGCACGGCAGGGCGCGAGGGCGGATAGTCGCGCAGCGCAGCGCACCTTGTTGTGCAGGGAGACGGCGGTGAGGCCAACGATGAGGAAGCCGGAGAAGAAGAGGATGAGCTGGTTGGTCTGGCACGTGTCGCTGTTGGGCACGAACCACACGGCCAGCACGATCAGCAGCGCCAGACACACCACGTACGCACCGATGGACACTACCAGCATCGCCATGTACCTGTTGGTCCGGAGGATAGAGCACAGGGGGGGGGAGGGGGGATGCGGGAGAGCAGAGGAGCGTGAGGGGGGCAGCCAGAAAGTGAAGAGAGGCCGGGCGAAGGAAGGAGAACGCGGAAGGAGCCGGAGAGACGAACAGCATGCATGTAGGAGCTCTTCCTTCGCCGTCCGTGCTAGCAACGCGCGGCCTACGCGGTGGATTTCCGTGACCGTGTCCTGATGCGAGGTTACGTACCATCGGTGCTCGTCGCGCGACGCCCAGTCGTCGTTCCACGCGAAGACGAAGTCCAGGAGAATCAGCGCCTGCACGAACAGAAAGATGAACGACCCGCCGCGACTCACGTAGCCTGGATAGCGGGAAGCGGGGGGAGCGGGGGACGGGGGAAACGCCAGGACGAGGAAGTAAGTCGATGCAAGTAGGTGTGCGCTTGGGAGAAGCGGGGGATGTGGATTGACAAACAAACAGTTCAACGGCAGAAGGGAGAGAGGCGGGGAGGGAGGGGGTGGAATGGGGGAGAGGTGGGTGTGGGAGGGGTGGGAAGGGTTGCAAGGGCGGGTGGGAAAAGACCGAGCGTATAAGTTGCTAGGCAAGTCTGGCGCGTACCATAGAAGGAGACGGCGGAGTCCGGCACGAGGAAGGCGACGACGAGCAGCAGCAGCCACGCAATGAGCTTCACGAACCAGCCGCCGTGGTGCCACGCGTCGCGGTAGTCGGACTCCTTGCGCACGTTGACGAGCAGCAGCGCGAGCAGCACGAAGAAGAGGCTCGTGCCCAACGACACGCGCAGCACCGCCTGCTCCTGGAACCACGCGCTGTCCGGCACGTGTATAACGTGCAGCGGGTCTAGCTCTGTCGCGCGTCGGGAATGAGGACGCGGCGAGGAGAGCGGATATTCGGAGCGGAGGCGGGAACGAAAGGGAAGGAAACGGAGACGTGAGGTCGACGGAAGTAAGGAAGAATAATATAAAAAGAAGACGAAAAACATCTGAGATCGTTCAGATAACAAGGCACGTTTTGAGCGGCAACGCACTTTCTGCAAAAGCGAGGAGCGGTTCAGCGTAGTCACGAACGAGCCACGAGAGCAGCAGCGACAAGGCGAAGAGCACGACATAGGCGAAGCGCGCCGTGCTCCGATTGATGCTTCCGACAACGGTCCTGCACGCCTCGCACGCGCACGCCGTGCAGCACACGGCGGCGCACGACGGACCCACTCCCATGGCTCGCTGCCGGGAGGAATATTGGGGACGTCAATCTAGAACGAAGACCTGAAGCGAGGAAAGACGGCGAGAAAGACGCGCCGATAGGCAATAAAGTATCGAAATTACTCTCACTAGCTGTTGACTTGATACGTTCCAGCAGTGGAAGCTCGTGGAAGGAAAAGAAAACCTAGCTTGTGAGGTTGCAGGAGCACCAGTTGACAGATGAGAATGAATAGCGTACGAGCGAGCGTGGCTGATTGAACCGAATATGTGTTTTGTCAGGAAAGATGGCAAAACGTGAGTGGTTCTGCGAGGTTGGGTACGTTGGAAAAAGGTTGATTGAAACCAAGCCCTGGGAGCTTCGACCTGAAACGGTACGGTAGTCAGCGCGTGCCGACGAACCCTGGGGGGAGAGGTAGGGACGCTGTTGCGACGGCGGAGGGATGGGCGGACAACAAGTGTACCGGACAGTGGAGGCATGCACGCACGCACGGGGGAATGGAAGGGCGGAAGTCCCGCGGAACATTGCGCACCTTTCCGCGGCTAGGGCTTCGTTGAGGCGAGGGGAACGGGGTGGAATAGTTGACATCTCGGAAGTTCGGTGGTGAATATACTTCAACAGCTAACCTACTCTATTTGTGCAGCAGCAGCATGGGCGAATCTAGGTTATGCAATAATAAGTTTTGAGGTGGGATTTCACTCAGGATTCAGCAGCAGGAATCTCAACAACACACCTTAATGGTGTTTTCATTCCGGGATTCAGCTCGGCAGTGTGTACATGTGTTATGATTGCTTGCAGTGAGCAGGCAAGGATCTGTGGCTTGCAGCACTTGGTGTTTGCAGATGTCATTGATTGCTGTGTGGTTCTTTGCCAAAAAAGCACGCTTCAGTTATGCAGTGGAGCAGGTCATGCTTGGCTGCTTTGCTGGCTGGCTAGTTGACTGGTTGGCTGGCTGGCTGGATGCTTGGTTGCTTGGCTGGTTGGCTGTTTGGGATTGGTCACTTGGCTGGCTGGTGGAGGACTTGTTCTGTGCCTACTTGCATGCATGCTGCATAATGCGTGTGGATGGGTGCCCTGCTGTTCCACCTTCTCCCCATGACTGCGTGCTTCTCATGCCAGCTCCACCTCACTCTCACTCACGGCCGTGAACGAGGGCATGGCCCGTAGCAGCCAAGTCCCCCTCATGCCACAGCATCGGGCATGTCATCATGGCACGGCACAACACCTGCAGGAGGACTCTCTGTCCTGCTTGAGTGTTTGTGCCCAGGCGCCTTCCAGACTCCCACCCCACCCACCTATTTCACAACATGCAAGCCCATCCCACCAAGCACAACGCAACACAGCACACCTAAGCAACGATAAGCACACCTAAGCATGGCTAATCACAGAAGCGGCACATGTTGAGCTGTTATTAGTTCATCCCCTTTCGCCACCCCACATGCTCTTGGCGCTCTTGCCCTGCACATTGTTAAAATAAGCAGGAATGAATGAGTGAACTAGGCAAGAGGTGAGTACAAGTAGGGGAAACCAAACCCTAAAGTGTTGTACTCACTAAGGAGTGACCCTACTGTAGCCTAGACATACAATTGTAATTTGACACACCTCCGTAGGCAAAGTAGGGGACATCAAACACAACAAGCGGTCACAAGACCAGTCTGCAGAAGAGAACACAGCTCAGACTGGATCACAAAGTCACCACGCATTATGAGCACAAGCAAGTGGCCACAAGGCCAGTTCACATGCAGAGGGTTATAATAGCAAGGCAGTACACTGATCACAACCTAGCAAGAGAAAACATGCAGGTATAATCATATATATCGGTGTACAACAAGAGCAAGTCAAGCAACCAGCAGGTGAGGCAGAGTGGGCACAAGCCCAAGAGCAGTGCAGAAACGGTGATGATCACCAGACCCAAGGGCCTTAGTGAAGACATCATCAGTGTTGGCCCGAGAGGCCACGTAAGCAAGGTGCAGCTGACCACGCTGCTGCAGCTCACGCGCAAGGAAGTAGCGAAGAGCAATGTGATTCGTTCTGTGCTCCAGTCTCTGCTCGCGACACAAGGCAAGCATTGCCTTGTTGTCGACGTACAGAACTGGAGGAGAACGAGGCCGCTCCCCCAATTCGGTCAGCATGTAGGTCAGCCAGCGTAGCTCCTGTGCAGCCATGGCCCCAGCGTGATCTCGGCCTCATAGCTGGAACCGAGCACAGAAGAAGAACGAGTGGACCTCCACGAGACAGAACCAGATCCAAGACTGAAGGTGTAACCCTGTGACGAACGCTGAGTCGTCTGGTCGTCGGCCCAAGAAGCGTCAGAGTGTCCTGTGAGGACCACCGAACCCCGTCCTCCAAGCACGAGCCCCATGCCCGATGTGCTGCACAAGTAACGCAGTACCCTCTTCGCAGCATCAAAGTGCACCTTTCGGTGTCTACCGAGTGCCACGTAGCGAGCCAGGAGGCTAAGAGGGTACGCGAGGTCAGGTCGTGTGCACGTCATCAGGTACATGAGGCAACCCACAAGCTCTGGGTACGGACCACTCGGCTCTACGGACTCTTCCGAAGGTGGAGCTGAGAGCGAGTGACCGATAGACAGAGGAGTGGGCTGTGGCGAGGACCACGTGAAGCGGAAGCGCTGAAGGACCTGCTGCACCATGTGTGACTGAGTCAGGGTGATGGTGCGCCGTGCTCTGTCCCGGGTGATCTGCAAGCCAAGATAGCTCCGCAGCTCACCCATGTCAGTGCAGGTGTGTCTCTCCTGCAGCTCCGCCTTCACTAGGGTCAGTGCCTCAGTGTCAGCAGTAGCAAAAACCAAGTCGTCGACGTACACGAGGATGTAGAACGGCGGCAGAGTAGTGTCGGTGCGTAGAAACAGCGACGGGTCAGCCGTCGAAGGAACAAACCCAAGAGCCGCAAGTGTCGTCCTCAGTGTGTCGTGCCACTCGCGGGGCGCCTGACGCAGGCCGTACACTGGTCGCCGTAGGCTCCACTGGGTACCCTCGGGAAACGACCCAGTGAAGCCCTGTGGACGGCGCAACCAGATGGCCTCGTGAAGGCTACCCTGCAAGAAAGCTGTCGAGAAGTCAAGGGAGTGCAGCTCGTAGTCACGCTGAGCTGCAACGTGTAGCAACACCCGAAGAGTGGTCATCTTCGGGGTGGGGGAGAAGGTCTGAAAGAAGTCGACCCCCTCACGCTGACTGAAGCCTCGAGCAACGTAACGTGCCTTGAAGGCAGGCGGAGAACCCGGCGGCCGCTTCACCTTGAAAATCCACATGCCACTGACGATGTTCGCCCCAGGTGGGGGAACCTCGTCGACGTAGGTGCCTGTGGATTTCCAGGAATCCATATCTGCGTCCATGGCTGTCTGTCACTGAGAGGAGTACTCACCCGAAATCGCCTCCCTGTAGGAGCGCGGGGTGGGGATGTCAAGTGCATCCGGGTCTCCCTCAGGGGCAAGCAGCATGGTCGCGTGATGGGGTGAAGCGGCCGCAAGGCACTCCAGCTCCTCCTGCCTGTCCTCAAGAACGTCACAGCCAAGGGCAGTACAGCCAAGAGCAGTCTCACCCCCGACGGACGGAGGACAGGCAGGGACAGGGTCAGAGACAAGACTCGCAAGGTAGTCGAGGCGGTACACAGCAGCAAAATCATCGAGCTCAGCTACTAGGGCAGACGCAGCAGGAGACGAGAACGTAGGGTCCGTCACAACCGTAGCAAGAAGGCGAGTAACAGTCGGACTGGACGCACGAGCAAGGTCAGACGAAGGGTCAGCAACGTAAGGCAGAGAGAACGCAGGAGGTAACGGTAGGACAACACGCTGAGGAACAGAGAAGGACGGAGTGTCATATCGTGAGTGCCGGGGACAGCCGGAGCACGCGGACGACGAGTACGAGAAACACGAGCACGGACAGCAGCTCTAGGCTCAGGCTCAAGGTCAAAGCTAGACTCAGGCTCTCGACTCTCAGGGGTGGAAGCACGAGTCTCAGGCTCTCGACGCTCAGTCAGGGACTGTGTCACCGCAGTGCAAGGAGCAGGAGCAGGCAGTGGGGAGTGCAGTAGCAGCGGCGGCTGTGACTGGTCCGCCGGTGGAAACAGTAACGGAGGAGTAGTACCTGCCACAGGGAAGTCAGTAGCACCTGACGGAAGACTGAGAAGGTGGCGAAGAGCACCAGTAGCTCCCGTACCTCCAACACGAGCAGCTCCTCCAGTACCCCCAGCAACACCTCCAGCACCAGTAGCACCAGCACCTCCAGCACCACGAGCTCCGACAGCGCCAGCACCTCGAGCACCAGTAGTACCTCCAGCACCTCCAGTGCCTCCAGCTCCAGCTCCAGCTCCTCCAGCACCAGTAGTACCTCCAGTACCTCCTGTGCCAGCAGCTCCAGTAACAACTCCAGCACCTCCAGCACCAGCAGCACCACCTGCTCCGGCAGCTCCAGCACCTCCAGTACCTCCAGCACCAGCACCTCCAGAGTCCGCAGCTCTTGTACCTCCAGCTCCAGGACCTCCAGCACCGGCAGCACCTCCAGTAGTAGCACCTCCAGCACCTCCAGCACCAGCAGCAGCTCCAGTACCCCCAGCACCAGCAGCACCTCTAGCACCAGCAGTACCTCTAGTACCTCCAGCACCAGCAGCATCTCCTGGACTAGTAGCTCCAACACCAGCCGGACCGTACCCTCCACCACCAGGACTGCCTCGTCAAACGACCCACGCACGAATCGCCTGCGGCGAGAGTGTCTCAAGTAGAGCAGGCTGCGGTGGCTGTCCAGCTCCAGTACCTCCAGTAGTGGTAGC